ATAGTGCCAATTTCCCTGTAATTGAAGGCTTTTAATAAATCATCTATAAACATGATACGATTGTCGTGTAAAGACCCGGTAGATATAAATTGTACATACACATAATGTATATAGATTTACTCTTTCTTCCGCTTGCGATTATGAAAGATTTTTATTTGACTGTAGAATTTTTTGAAAACTTATTTTACTTCTAAATTATTGTTAGAAAATCCCTAGTGTTTTGCAGTTAAAATGTCGAATGAATTTATTCCGCATTCTTAATTAAATAAAAACAAAAGTATTAAAAAGCCTTAATTTTCATGTTTATTTGGGTGATTACTTTTAATTTTGGCTAGTTTTGGTTTGGGAGGGAAAGGTATTTGCCTTGACTTGTTAATAATGTTTTTGGCTTGTTGAATCTGTCATCTTTTATTATATTTTCATATCAAATACCACAAAACTACAAATTCAATATTGATAATTGCATGACAAAAATAAGAGGGTGTATGAATAAATGTGATTCCGTAAACACTTCGCTCTGCTTGACAACGTTTAAAGGAGTGTATTCAAAACCCGCAAATGTAGCTTTCGAAAAACACAATTCTATAAATTCCACAAGGGGGTTCGATACCTGGTCCATGCACATAATCAACTATCCATCTACATGTACAGTGCCACCAGCTATATCCGCAATTCCACCAATTATATCTGCAACATTGTCAGTTAAACATGGAACTCCGACAACTACATCTACAACTTCGTCAACTACATCTACAACTTCGCCAACTATATCTACAACTTCGTCAACTACATCTACAACTTCGCCAACTATATCTACAACTTCGTCAACTACATCTACAACTTCGTCAACTACATCTTCAACTTTGTCAACTACATCTACAACTTCGCCAACTATATCTACAACTTCGTCAACTACATCTACAACTTCGCCAACTATATCTACAACTTCGTCAACTACATCTACAACTTCGTCAACTACATCTACAACTTCGTCAACTACATCTACAACTTCGCCAACTATATCTACAACTTCACCAACTACATTTACAACTACATCTGTCACCTGTAGTGATGCTAAGTATGTCCACTGCAGTGGTAGTCATATTTGTAGTAATACCATTCTAAAGGCACATTGTCCAGTCACTTGCGGACTTTGTGGTATGTATGTTGCTACTTTTACAGTATTGATTTTAATTTCTTTGCATACTTCCTAATGTTGAATTCAAAGTCTAATAATGAATATGAGGTATGAATTGAGATATGCATGACAATTTATATTAATTGTCATTCGAGTAGTAATCAATAAGACACATTTTTTTTTTGAAAAAATTAAAGGGAAAGGGAATTTCTATGAGTTCGTAATATGCAAAGATCACAAGATCACAAGTAAAACCTTTATTGAATTTCCTTTTAAGGGCATATCAATTATTTTTATGGGAAATATCATATTATGTTATTTCATCTTTTCATGAGAAATATCGCGAAAAATTGCCACAATAAAGAGCAATTTTGCATGAACAATCGCATACTAAATCGTCACGTTACGATTTAGTTCTTTTTCTATACTTTTAAATTAAAAGACATGTCAAATTCAGTATTTAGTCGTTGCTGTGTGATATATCAAATTTAGAGAAAATATATGGACATTACTCTTCAAAAATTATTTTATGCAGTATTAGCATAAATCTTTTATAAAAAAGCAGCAGCAGCAACAACAACCTTCTCTGAAAGAGGAGCACGAAGTTTCTCAGCATCGAGATTTTGTTTTTAATCACCCGTTCACCATGATGGTATCTGGATTGACCTCGTTCGGAAAGGGGTATTTTATGAAAAACATGCTACAACGAGTAAGGCGGATCCGTGCCCAAAAAAAGAGTCGAGTGGTTGTACAAGAGATGGCAACCACTCTATGGAGAACTTCAGAAAACCGTGCTTCCACGAGTGGAATTTTCCCGCGGTATCCCGGTCGATTTAGAAAGCGATGACTTTTTCGATCCCAAGAAGTCAAGAGGAATATGATCATTTTGGATGATCTGTTGTCCACATCGGCTAAAGATTCAAGAATAAGCGATCTATTTACGGAATGCAGTCACCACAGATATGTGTCGGTGGTGGTTTTAAATCGAACTTGTACTTTGGAAAGGACCCTACCCAGAGACGAAACTGTCATTTCCTCGTACTCTTTAACAATCTCATAGTTCATTAACCCTTCATGACCCTAGGACGTCAGATGTATCCGTCTAAGTCGGACTTCTTTCTACGGAAATTTGAAGAGGCGACGAGAAGACCATACGGATTCCTTCTGGTTGATCTGAAACCCAGAAGGCAGACTCGTCAAGACTGCGAACTGATGTCTTCAGGCGGGCAAAGGAGTCGTCACCTCTGAAGAAATGGAGGGAACCGATAGTTCCAACACTGAAAGTACAACGTCAGATATAATGGATGATAGAGAGAATCTAATAACTTGTTGAGATTGCGGACTGGTCTTTGCACACTATCAGGGTTTAGAGGACCATAATTGTCGAAAGAAATTGATTCGCTTACCAATGTCTGGAGAAGCACCAGAGGGAGTAACGTCGGTCACCGTTTGCTGTGCAGACGACTTACCAGCCTATGTGAGTGACAGACCTGAAACGTACGTGGTCAACACGGACAACTGTAACCAGGAAGGAACTCATTGGGTGACCTATCATTTTCCTATTTCGGGACCGCCCGAGTTTTTTTACTTCCTAGGAGGAGCACAAGAGACAAACCAGCAACGTTTCAGAAATGTACTCATCGTTAACGGACCCAGTACCGTTTTTTTTCGATGTCAAATTCAACCCGACTATTCGGGAACATGTGGACTATACTGCGCTTATTACGTGAAAATGAGATGTCAGATTATCAAGATGGAAGATGTTTTGAATGAATTTTTATCGGACGACCTAGATGCCAACGACAAAAAACTCTTTGCATTATTTTCATTCTGATATTTTGGAACACAATCGTTCTGCTTTGATGTAATATTGATCATAATAAAACGTTTGCCCATATCATGTTTTTTTTCAGGCATTCCGTATGTGGACAACAACATAAAGACCACCGTATTAGATTCAGACACATCTTCTCATGGATCAGGTGAATATGTGTCGGGAGTGTCATCTACTGGGCGTTTACCAATCAACATAAAGATCAGGGAACGAATAAATTTCTGTCAAAGAGACATGGAAAATGTTTTTCCTCGACTTTGGTTTTTTTCTTCATTAAGATTTAACTCAGCGAGCGAAAAAGATGTATTGAATTTTCATCCATCATGTTTGAGGGATGTAATCACTTAATAAGGGTGAATGATGTCTATGACTCATACAGGGTGTGACCCTTTATAAGGAGATGACGTTACTTTTAGGCTGTGTCATCGGGCAATATCCGGTATGGACTTCCGGTGACGTCACAAGTGGGCGGGGAATGCCTTATAAGGGTCCCTCCTGTCCTCCTTGGGTTTTCGACTTGACTAAAACCAGTCACACTCTACTACTCAAATAGGAAAATGAAGGAAATATTAATGTGAATTAAAACTGGTGGAAATGCAACTAAAAGATATATTAATGCACTGTTTTGTCATGCTAACAGCATGGTTACCGAAACATCTAAAAGGTAGTTAGTCACTCCGGTGGTCTTAAAATCAATCGGAGTGCGCAGTCTATTTTGTAGAAAAAAATCACTATAATTGTATTGTTTGGTTAATAATACACTATGTCTAACTTTCTAAACCAGCTAAATCTACCACTACGGACTGGATCTTGATACCTGGGAGATAGCAATTTAAACAAAAATATGCGAATCTTACAAAAATGTATCCTTTTAACTTTGTTTGGCATAATACGTTGTGCATCTAGTTTGCTAGATCACACAAGAAGGAATGTCAATATTAGCAATATTACGAGTATCTTAATTTTATTTCTAAGTACAAAAGGAAAATATATTTCTGAACAAAGCTGTAAAATCAGTTTTGTAAAACTGTTTCCGTGTATGCCCTTTCAGATTAAGATTTGAACAATTAATTGAATTTATTTAACTCCACATCAAGTTGTGCATAATAATTGATTGATTGCCAGGCCTCTTCCGTTGGAATGTTGTGGATAGTTGTCTCATTGAAAATCATACCTCATGTGTTTTGATTGACAATGACAAAACTGTATAAATCCGTTCCAGACATAAACACAAGATTATGAAACTGGAAACAATGTTTTCATAAAACAAGTGATTATACCAAATTTCATAAATCTCCGATTAAGGTAGATTGGGTCTCTTCCTCCATCTTGAATTTTAAAATAGTAGATAACAATCGGCCTAGATCTTTAATGAAATGTGCAAAGTTCGAGAGTAGTATGTAATTCATGTGTAAGACTTTTCATGTTAATATAGAAAATAATGTATTTTATCATATTTTACGGCAGTATTTTACAAAAAAATAGATTATTTTTGTTTGATTCATTTTGTTTGCCACATAAGGGGAGATAACTCAGATAAAGTAACTTTTATCATAGAATGTGTTGTGAATTTACCTATTTTATTATGTATCAAGAAAACGAGTCCGGTAACCCCATTTTGTCTTTTTCTTATTTGAAAGCATATATTAGAGCTATTTTCTCATATTTCATCTTAAAATCTTATGCTGTAGTTTTCTTTTTATCACAAAAAAATGAGTTTTCCATGCAGAATTACACTATTATACAAAATCTGACAATATTACAACCCGTATCGTGTAAAAAGCCCGGTAACCAATACTGTTTATTACATTTTTGAAAAAAACATGATATAAACTATATTTTGACAAATTATCAAAAAAATCTATGGATTTTATTAAGACGCCTCCCCTCCCCCACCCCCGATCTACCTTAGGTCAAATACGAACAAATGATATAGACTATTACTGAATTTTCATACATTTATATGAAGAGATTATTTTTTTCAAACAAGAAAATATTAATCTATTGACTGATAATTGGTATTCCTCAGTTAATTATGAACGTGTAACTGTATCGGATTCACATATGAAAGGGGCATTCACATTGCAATCCTCAACACCCCACTGATAGCTTTGATCTGGTATTACTCTAATACAGTTCTGTTGTTGCTCCACATTGGTAGGTTCTTCAGGAGACCAGTTAGTCCATTTGAGAGATACTCCTTCGCTTGTTGTAAATGTACCATTGTTTTCAAGATCTATACCATCCATCCAAAACGGAGCTGGAATCACTGATAACAAATAAAAATGAATTTTAATTGTAAGTTTAAACTATTAAACAAATGTCTTCTACAGAAAGCTTGCATGTTGTTATTTCTAATATGCAAGCTGAATTAAGTCTGTCTATGTGAAAAATGTATCTTTTCCCCTTAAAACAGGTATTAGTTTATAATGTTAGTATCTATTTAAGTAAATATGAACAATCATTTTACATGTATTCATTATGTTATATTTTAGTCGTTTGATTACCTCTATCAAAGGTTCTATTAATGTATGTCGCAAGAGCATTCAATGTCAATTCACTGTCAATCAGAATCAATCGATGACCTGCACCTTTACAAGCAGTCAGTGCATTTTGCCAACTGCTTCTGACACTGTTGTATTTGAAGCACTTTCCTGATGCCAATGTAAATCCCTGGGGACAATTCACTAAAATGACAATCAAATAATATCAGTTTCTTTTATAAAATTACTAACTAAATAATGTCTACTTTTCAATAAAACTACATTTGCATCCCTATAAGCTTTAATATTAACAACTATATAAAACATAAAACAAGTGTTTGATCTGAACTTTTTATGTTTCTCTTCTATTTCTAATATTTGTATTTATAAAAATAAGAAGATGTGGCATGATTGCTAATGAAACATCTCTCCACCAGAGATTAAATCACACAGAAGTCAACAACCATGGGTCACCGTACGGATTTGTTCGTATATAAAGAAAAAAAAAATACTATAGAACCTGACTTTTGAATTTATTGTTGATGTGTTCTAGTTCTCAATATGCATGCTATATTTGACAATACATCTCTTGAATTTATTTCCTACAAACTTGTATCATCGATATGATTGATTGGCAATCAAAAGTTACCTAAAATATGGCAAAATCCTCAATTACTCGAGAAATGTCTAAAATTATTACTCTGATAAAGCTTATGAATGACATGACGAAGTTTAAGAAATATTTTAAGATATTAAACGGTAAATATTATTAAATCTAATTAGTTTTGAATACCTTGGCATTCGTCCAATATGCATGTTTGTTGTTCCAAGCTCTCTCCTTGACATCCACTGCTGGTCAAGTGTGGATTTGTACAGTTCCGTGTTCTAGTTTGATTCCCTTGTCCACATTCAACGCTACATTGAGACCAAATAGCCCATTCACTCCAGTTTCCGGTTACTCCTGACAAAATAAATGAATATATATATCCTAAATTGAGGTAAATTATATGGCCTTCCAAATACTGTTTCGATTCCTAACATCACTGAAGAGACATTAATTGTCGAAATCCGGATATGGTGTACAAATTTTTTGCACCTTTTGTTTACGGTATACCATCTTTTCCGCAAGTTTATTGTTTCCTGTTTGGTATTAAATTAATAATTAAGATCCCTTTTGTTACAATTGTGATCCGTTTATTTGGCAATCGCCAATGGCAGTCAGCAGGGTTTAAGAACATTTGTTGTTCGACCTGTTAGTCAAATGCGTTTTGTTAAAATATACTTTTTCACTTTTTTGGTCTTTTGAAAAATGTTGTTTGTGCTTTTTTTAGACCTCTCTACCAAGAAATTTGTTTTACATGCACACGTATAAAAATTGCGGTTTTTATCCAACGCAATCATAGGTTTAAACGTTGTTTTCAATTTAGACTTGTATATATTTTTTTCACGAAGGGTGATGCTAGTTTATTGTTGCTGTTCTTGAGAAGCCCTGTATATGTACAAATTGTATGAATGTCTTCATACGAATGAAAAAAACAAATATGTTAGATGAGGCGAACAGTTGTTTCTATTGAAAGCCGATAGTCTGTTGAAAAATACAGCCACCAATGCAGTTCCCAACGTATGATTTATCCGTTTCTAAAACAAGATAATTGATTCTACTTTTAAGTTTATATTTAGGAATATTTGTGTAAATGATGTCGAAGTCAGATATATTCTTACTAATGTATGAAATTAGGGACGATGCAAGTTTGTTTTTGGAAATGCGTTGAGTATATCAACAGATCATGGGGATTTTTCAGGAGCCACACCTGAATTTTACCGCCTTTTAAACGGTACATTATTTGTGGAAAAAAAGAGGCGAAAGATACTAAAGGGACATTCAAACTCATAAGTCGAAAATAAACTGACAACGTCATGGCTAAAAAAGTACAATTCCTGTGATAAGTCTAATTTGGTAGGTCACATTCGGGGAAAAGGGGACGGGATTGTAGTTACAACAATTGAAACATATCCGTCGTCATCTGTGTCATCCATAACGGTCAACCAACTCGTGATGGCGTCCGGAAAATTTACGAAGGGATAATTTCAACTTAAGCACATGTAACTTTTGGTTTAATAACTAATTTGTGTGGTTGTAAGTAATTCAAGAAATGGTTTCGTTGGGCATCTTGGTTGACCCAACTAGTTGAGAATCCTGTAAAGTGACAAACAAAATAAAACCGACCTTCATATTGCATAGCCTTTAGTTTTCTATGAAGTGGTTTCTGGACATGTACGTCTCTCCGTTCTTTTTCGTTTTTTGCCATGTAGGTGTCAGGTTTTCTTTGACTTATGAATTTGAATGTCCCCTGGGTATCTTTAGCCTATTTGTTAACTGTCTCAACAATAAACAATATTTACTCTATTGGAAATAATTTTGTTATTATAACGGAACTATAAACTGTCACATAGCTAGCTAAAAAACATGTTTAACCCACCATATTTTCCCGTCTGTTGGTTGATATAGTCGAGCGTTTGATTTAGTCAGGCTTTATGGACTTCCACCTGATTGAATTTACCTTGAGGGTCGGTATTTTTGTTAATACTTTTCTATTATGATAGTCGTTATAGTACATGTTTGATTTTTTACTGAATTGTCAATACCTAATTCCTTCATCAAGTTGTTTATACACTGTACAATTAGATGTAAACACAAAAAGTGTATTGTGTGCGGCCTTACAACATACAATTGTCATTGAGGTTAGATAGATGTAAAGCCTCATTTATTGCTTATGTGAAGATGTTGCATATGTGTTAACCGATCTGGTTTTGTTATTTATAATCTTTTTAAACGAAACCACTCCTTTATTTAACCCATTCGAGAATATTTCCGTCTCATTTTTTTTATTGTCTTGTATAATCCTCGGAGGAGTCCAGTTTAGTTTTAAAATTCTGTTGATAATTTATGGAATTAAGCTCACGATAAATCAATTCGTATACAGGTTTTGTTGAAAATTGTATGCAAGACATGAGTGGCAAAAAGATTCTAAATGAGAGGGGGAATTCCATACGTGGAATCAGGAGGTTGTCAAAGCCAAGATTCTGAAGCAAGTCCTATAGTTGCAAATGGTGTCGTATGTTAGAATAAGAAATTATTGAAACGGACTGATCTTTATGATTTGATTTTTTTTCCAAAATATTAAACTTAAACGTAAACGAATGAATTCATAAGGATATATCAAAATAATAAAATTAAAAATATAGGAAAGCACTCAAGCAATTAAACGCCCACCAAAACAACTTCCTTGACAAGGTACGTCTTCTTGAGTCCAACGTTCACAGTCAGCACCACCTTGATGTGGAATAGGTTCTATACATGTTCTTCTCCTTGATGTGTTGCCTGCATTTCCGCAGTCGGCGCTGCAGTCACTCCATTCAGCCCAAACTGTCCACCCATCACCAACTGGAAAATAATTGGAAATAAACACATCGATGTGTTCTAGACTAACTGCTGTAATTTTCTTTTTTAATTCAACGTCAAATATATATATCCTATATACAGGACAATATTATTCATACAATTTTGGTGGTGTTTGTGTTGCTCAGTCTTTAGTTTTCTATGTTGTGTTTTGGTGGGGTTCGTGTTGCTCAGTCTTTAGTTTTCTATGTTGTGTTTTGGTGGGGTTCGTGTTGCTCAGTCTTTAGTTTTCTATGTTGTATTTTGGTGTGGTTCGTGTCGCTCAGTCTTTAGTTTTCTATGTTGTGTTTTGGTGGGGTTCGTGTTGCTCAGTCTTTAGTTTTCTATGTTGTGTTTTGGTGGGGTTTGTGTTGCTCAGTCTTTAGTTTTCTATGTTGTGTTTTGGTGGTGTTCGTGTTGCTCAGTCTTTAGTTTTCTATGTTGTATTTTGGTGTGGTTCGTGTCGCTCAGTCTTTAGTTTTCTATGTTGTATTTTGGTGTGGTTCGTGTCGCTCAGTCTTTAGTTTTCTGTGTTGTGTTTTGGTGGTGTTCGTGTTGCTCAGTCTTTAGTTTTCTATGTTGTGTTTTGGTGGGGTTCGTGTTGCTCAGTCTTTAGTTTTCTATGTTGTGTTTTGGTGGTGTTCGTGTTGCTCAATCTTTAGTTTTCTATGTTGTGTTTTGGTGGTGTTCGTGTTGCTCAGTCTTTAGTTTTCTATGTTGTGTTTTGGTGGGGTTCGTGTCGCTCAGTCTTTAGTTTTTAATGTTGTGTTTTGGTGGTGTTCGTGTTGCTCAGTCTTTAGTTTTCTATGTTGTGTTTTGGTGGGGTTCGTGTCGCTCAGTCTTTAGTTTTTTATGTTGTGTTTTGGTGGTGTTCGTGTTGCTCAGTCTTTAGTTTTCTATGTTGTGTTTTGGTGGGGTTCGTGTCGCTCAGTCTTTAGTTTTTTATGTTGTGTTTTGGTGGTGTTCGTGTTGCTCAGTCTTTAGTTTTCTATGTTGTGTTTTGATGGGGTTCGTGATGCTCAGTCTTTAGTTTTCTATGTTGTGTTTTGGTGGGGTTCGTGTTGCTCAGTCTTTAGTTTTCTATGTTGTGTTTTGGTGGGGTTCGTGATGCTCAGTCTTTAGTTTTCTATGTTGTGTTTTGTAAACTGTTATTTGTCACTCTGTCTTTTTATTTTTTAACCATAGCGTTGTCAGTTTATTTTCGACTTATGAGTTTGAATGTCCCTTTGGTATCTTTCGCCTCTCTTTGTTAATTCTGGTCACAACAAGGACAGATTGTGACCTTGACCCATGGTATAGACACTTCTCTATGTTGACCACTAGATGTCTTCTCTGGTTTTGGGGTCATTGTTATTAATTTGCAATCCCAATATCTAATCTTATTCATATACGTTCGTCTTTAAATTAAATTGTACTATTTATAAATACTTAAATATTTGATGAAATATTAAAATAAAATAGTTTGACATTTTGTTTTGTAAGAAATGTATTTCGATATATCATTAATATATTAGTTATTATACATGTATGACTGTAATATCCATTTATGTCGTTTTCAGTTGCCAGGATAACTATGATAAACCATTTTTTGTTTCACATGAGGTTCGTGTGCAATACAAAACTAGAAATACACAAAAACGAAATCTCAATGTCGCAAGCTGTAGCATATTGTAGATGAAGATAAAAAGGATTTTTTAGATCAACATATGATTATATAATTTTGGATGACTTTATTTGATGAAAATTTTGTCAATAAAGGCCATTCCTGGTCTTTGAGATGGTTTATCTTACTCAATATAAAGTTTGCTGTGAATTTTTTTGTCTTTTTTTTTTCATTTTGTCATAATATTGTCTTTCTTTGATTTACATTCTTTATATAGGTATCGTTTACCCTTTCATGTTTAAATTCGAGGATACAGCCTTTAATAACCATTTAATATGCGTGTGTATCAAAAAGGTTTAGGGAATACCTTCATCTTACTTTTAATAGTAAGTACTGATGAAAAAGATAACAATGCAGTAGAACACTTATACATAAAAGTCAGATATTGGATGCGGAAACAAGTTTTTGAAACACATTTAAAAATCCCTTCTACCTTAAGTGAGGTTATTGTATAAATGTTGATTATGATAATTGACTGGGACTTCAGGCAATCTCTCTAATCGCTCATACATGTAAATGAAAAATGCTAAGTAAAACAAAAAAGAACTGCTTATGTTGAAACATTAGAGGAACTGATGTTGAAAATTTGAAAAAGTTGTACGGCGTTCTCGACCTAGCGATATGTTTGAAATTATGCTGAACATAACCAACACCATGTAAGAGTTACCATAAATCTGCATGACCAAAAATGGGAGTAAAAAACTACTTGTCCAACATAAAAAGAGCCTGTGTCGCTTACCTACATCTGCTACAAAGGAACACTTTTTCTATAAAGAGTTATCTGACTATTTCAGTGATGTTGATGTATCTCTTGCTGATCATTTTTGCTATTTAATGTTTTTTTTTATCTATCTTGTAGTATGCAAAAATACAAAATATTGGGAAAAATCGTCATTAAAGGGCAATAACTGCAATAAGAAGTCGTTTGACATTTTTATGTTGATAAACAGAAGCTAAATCTCATCATTCTGAACATTTTAGGCTCGTCAGATCTTATCTAGATTTAGCGGTTTTCAAGATCAAAGAAAAAAAATGCATTTTACTCTTATCTTCTTTTTTTAACTATGTCGGCCATGTATGTCGGCAGGCGGGGATATACGTTTGTTAAACTAGATACCCCAATGATGAATGTGGCCAAGTTTGGTTAAGTTTGGCTGAGTAGTTTTAGATGAGATGATCTTTGTTATAGTTAACAGACTACGTACGACGACGGACACCAAGTGATGGCAAAAACCCACTTTGCCCTTTGAGACAGGTGAGCTAAAGAGGTATTAAGAATCTGGTTTAACTTGTTTTTCAATGTTTTTGTCCGTTTATGATAGAACATCTTTGCTATCTCTGTGAGAAAACAAAATATTTCTATTTACCCAAAGATTAAAGCCCTTTAAAATGAAACTGTTTCTGCGTTGAAAAAGTTAATAACAGAATATATGTGAAATGCATTATGAAATAATAGTATTAAGCAAATTTAGATAAGAACATTGAAAACAAATAAGTACAGATAAAACAAGAAATCCAAATATTTCTTTTTGTATTTTTAAGACCTAAAATTATATGTCTTGTTTTATGGGTGTCTGACACAAATTTCGGATATGTCAGTGGACTTCGTGTCTAATATATATCTTGTCGTAGTTTCATCATGATCAAAATGATAAAAACAAATATTTCCAATGATTCATGTTCAATATTAAAACTATATATGTGTACATCTGCTAGTTTATTGTGTTGTTTTTCTGCTGCTGTTCACGAGGGTAATGTGACGAGGTGATGTTCGAAATAATTATGTAACTGAAAAATCTTGGTAATTTACATAACTGTAGAAATTACTTATTTGTACAATTTTGAAGTAAAGTGGTTAATGAAGTTTTAAAGTTTACGAAAGTAAACAAGAAGCTAATGAAATACGAGCTAACTAAGAAACGTAGAGATAGTCACTAGCTATTCCAGACCGATAGTAAAAACGACCTATACAATTATCATTGATATATCAAGAAAAACAGTTTTCAATAGTATGTCGTAAAATATTTGAAGGTGCCCTAACGATATATTAAAAAGTGTACTATTAGTTACATAGTGTGCTAGTGACCTAATGCGATATATATATGGAGTCAGTAAATTCCATATGGGATGAGAGCGAAGCTCGAATCCCCATATGGAATTTACTGACCCCATATATAGCTCGAATCCCCATATGGAATTTACTGATCCCATATATATCGTATTAGGTCACTAGCACACTGTGTAACGAATTTATCTTACCGACTATCTTAACATGTGGTATTTAGACTAGTGGCATATCAAAGTGATCAAGTCTTCAATACTTAGTATTAAGAACCTACTTCAATTGGTCTATACAAAAACAAATGCCAACAATAACAACTTGTTAGCTTTAAATGTGTTTTATGAATTTATTTCAATCGTTCATCATCAATGTATTCGTCTATTGAAACCTTTCAGATTTTTCCTCAACATCGTGTTGTTTTTAAAAAGGGACGAAACACCACTACTAACCGTGTATTGAAATAAGCCCCGCCTACTAACCTAATATGAAGTATACACGGTCTCCACGCGGTTGCTTTTAACCTATCATATTCCTAGAAATGTATAGGAGGTAAGATAAACAGAAATAATTACCAGAACACAATACAGCTCCTGTACATGTTTGATATTCTTCGTACTCTCCAATACAGTTAGCGCCACCACCTGTCGGAGAAGGATTAGTACATGTCCGGAATCTGGTCTTCATTTGCTCAGTGGTTTCACATGTTTGTGTACAGTTACCCCAACTTCCCCATTGAGACCATTCACCGTCCACTAAAATCAAAAGTGTCAATAGTTAATCATTGTATTCAAGTATGTATCAGGTATATCATATGAACCAGCCGCAAACGATCAAGTTCGACTCGTCAGGTTTCATTCAAGTTGTAAGTTTCTTGTTTAAAGTTATAAATATTCCCCTGACGTTTGAAGCGTTTAGTTCTATTTATCAAACTCACCTAGTCGTAAAATATTCATACTTTACGAGCATTTTTTCTTCAGGTAAAACACACATTTAAGTTTTATAGTAAGCAAAAAAGTATCGCATTTAGAAGCAAGCAAGAAAGACTCTTTGGAAAAGCTTCAAATATATCAACCATACAGTATCCAAATTTTATGGAACATGCATGTATGGAAATATAAGAAAGAAAAGAAGTTAGCAGTATCCTTATACTTCACTTTCCGCTAGATAGATGATGTTCTCTCACTAAATAATTCAAAATTTGGTGACTATGTATGTTGAATGTATCTATCCCATCGAACTTGAGATAAAGAATACAGTTAAGTCAGTCTCATATCTTAACTTACATCAATGGGGGTCGGTTAAAAACAAAACTTTACGACAAAAGAGATGATTTCAGCTTCCCATTTGTAAACTTTCCATATGTAGCAATTTTCCAGCATCGCGTGCGTACGGAGTATATATCTCCCAGTTGATACGATTTTCCACGGCTTTTATTTCCTATCATTATTTCCTTGATGGAGGGTTGCTGCTCACAAGGAAGCTATTAAATCAAGAGTTCCAAGTGGTGAAGTTGAAATCATCGCTTCGTAAATTTTACAGACGCCACCATGATCTTCTTACCCTTCCGGAGCACCTTAGATAATCCCCCAGTTTTTGGTGGGGTTCGTGTTGATCAGTCTTTAGTTTTCTATGTTTTGTTTTGTGTACTGTTGTTTGTCTTTTTTCTTTTTTTGCAATGGCGTTGTCAGTTTATTTTCGACTTATGAGTTTGAATGTCCCTTTGGTATCTTGTGCCTTTCTTTTATATAAATTATCAAAATATTATTGAAATTATATTGTATGGGTAAAATTAACTAACATTGACAAATTCTATCCCAAGAGAGACATACTATATTGCACGTGCTTTCAAGTGCATTTGACATTCTCGACCTCAAATATCTCTGTTTTTGCATATTTAGATTATGAAAATGACTATAACTCTATGTTTACTTAATGAAAATCGTAATTTTCTACGATTCTGCAATTCATACAAATTCCGGGGAAATATTGCACTTTTTTTCAAATCTAAGAATTTTTCTACAAGGAATGTGACGTTTGTTCAACAGTTAAAAATAGTATTGAAGAAACATACAGTATATATACTGTATGCTTCATAAGTACAAACCTGGAGGAATACACCTGTCTTCCGCTCTTGATATCAAATAAGCATAGGCAACTACGCACACCGTTAAACTTCCAATAGATAACCCGCAGAAAAATGCAAAAAATGAACAAAATCTGTTCTTTGGTGGTTTAGTTATAACTTGGATGTGATGAGGAACGACTTTCTTCGATGGCATATCTAAACATGAATGTCTCCTGTATCATAACTTATAAATAAAATTAAGTTATCCTACCTACTCTATGTTTCACTAATTATTATCTAAATGTATGCAGATTTAATGTATTGTTTTGGACCTTTTCAGGTCTACTTTAAACTTATTGATCAGCCCAAAGATCATGAGAACGATGCAAATTCAACATAAACTTAATCATCTAGGTCTACAAAATAACAAAAAAGTTGTGAATAAAATACTTTATGGTGCCTATGTAATTATATTTTATAAGACATGGTTTTACAAGGTGTTATAAGGAACATCAATACAAAGAATAGCTAAAAAATCACACGCGATTCTGAACATTATCTTTTTTTTTTAATTTAAATGAATAAATTAACAATTAACAGTTGTTGGGTATTGATATAGAAGATTTTAAAAGCTTTTTTTTAACCAGCTATTGAAGGTATTGGAATTTTTTTTGAAGATCTTTCTTTTTTTTTTACTTTGTATCAATTTAAAAAAACCTAATCTGTGACTTAATCGCTACTTTCATGTTTGTTACAACGGTTTCACTTCCTTTTCGGTCCTTTTTATAAAATGATTAAGCATAGATGACATTAGGTGGATTAGGCTGTTCTCTTTAGATCCCTCTTGTTCATAAAGCTACTCAGGTATCAAAGTATTCATCCTTAGCTTTTAAAGAGATAAGGCCAATTTCCTCTGAATTTGTGTCATTCACAAAGTATAATATTGCATTTCCTTTTGGAATTTGAATAGTATAGAGCTATATATCATATACTTTGAAAGCATTTCTTTCAACAATGTACAGATTTCTAAAAAAAATCGAAGTGGAATTCAACGCGACATATTGCTGTTGAAGCTTTTTTGATACACAATTGCTTTCACACGTTTTCGTAAAATGTACATCGAAGAAATTGCAATATCAATGTATAAAAACAGTATACAGATAATCTAAGATTAATTTCCAACATTATTTTTGATTTTGAAAAGAATGCTCTTCCAAAACATTTTTGGTAAATACTCAAAATTTTTCGAATATGTCTGTTTTGAGCTATATTTGGGCGTTTATAATTTGATCGTATCTCTACAGATTAGCCATAATACTGTCAGAACCTCATATAAAATAAAATTAAGAAAGGAAACGGGGAATGTGTCATAGAGACAACAACCGAAGTACACACATGAAGTAATGTGAATTTTAGTAAATTCGGAAGATAATTTCAAAATGTCTTTTGTGTAAAATAAATTATGCGAAAATTGCCCGATCTTTTTTTGGGATTGGAGCCTTCCTTATAAAGATTAAGCCAGCAAACTGCTGCGGGCGGAACAAATTCAAAACTGATTTTTTTAATTTGCTTTCACATTGTGTTGATAGGGTATCATCAGTTCAGGTGTTAGTGCTTCGGGAATGTCATGATTTATAATATACTTTTCTGAATTTCTACTTTTATAAATTTATAATACTTTTCTGAATTTCTACTTTTACAAATTTATAAATTGAATTTGAAAACTGTTCCATCTTCCTCAGTAGTCTGGCCTGAGTTACATTTGCTATTCTCTATTGGTCAGTTTTTTGGTCACATAGCTCCTACAGTATGTATTCAAGTATTTATACATCCCTGACTTCCAAGTTGTGCAGTTTTAAAAGTTTATACAAAGTGATCATATTAGAATTAGAGACTTGACACAGTCATATGTTTTCTTGAAATTAAAATGCAACAATACCTACAGATATGCAATGAAGTTCAAACTGTTTATTTGTTATACAATTTGGTAAAACAAATTAGACTGAAAGATAAATGCTATTTTTTTTTATTCATATTATTATTTTACGTCACATGTGTCTAGATTTTCCAGTGAAATTAAACCTCACTACAAATCATTGATGATTCATTTTGGAAAACCACTATGAATAACAACTCAAAATAGGTAACCAATTTTCGCTCATCTTATTATGTGTCACCCCGATCTTAATAAAATTAGGAACTATTATAGGTTAAAGGAATTTATGTAAATTGTGTCTTTTTTGATACATTGTATATATCCCCATTTCCATTCTCAATTTTATAACCATTATTGTCACGTTTGTTTTGATATTTGTTAATAACAGTCCTTAGTTCATCAGAACGATCAGATGGAAATGAACCATCTATATTAACAATAATTAAAATCGTCTCCGTAGACACCAGGAAAACTATTGGATTCGGAAACCGGCATCTGCGACATTAACCAGTACCAACATACCGACATCATCTTCAGTACTTCAGATTGTTAATAACAGACCGGCATTGAAAAGATTATATTGAGAAAACATTGTGAACTTTCCATTTCTATGTAGCATCTTCATATTGAGTATATAGCTCCCAGATGATACAATAATCCAGAGCTTGGATTTCCTATTATGATTTTCTTGATAGATGGTAGTTGCTTACAAGAAAGCTATTGAACATAGATATCCAAGTGGTGATGTTGAAATCAGCCCTTCAAAAATTTTACGGATGCCATCACGAGTTATGGTGCCACATGTGGAGCAGAATCTGCTTACCTTCCGGAGCACCTTAGATCACCCTGGGTTTTTGGGTGGAGTTCGTTATGTTCAGTCTTTAGTTTTTCTATGTTGTGTTTTGTGTACCGTTGATTGTACTTACGTCGTTGCTTGTTTCTTGCCTTGGCATTGTCAGTTTGTTTACGACTTATGAGTTTGAATGTCCTTTTGGTATCTTTAGTTTCTCTTCTTTTACGCTAGTTTTTTTTAGCCTTCCGATATCTTGCTGAAATTTCTTTCATTACTACTTTGTAAAATTTAAATTAGACCTCGAAAAATAATAAACGAATGTCGCTGCATGCTTCAAAGCCTAAATTTCTTTCCCCAAACAACACTCAAAGTGATTCTGGCAACAATAAAAATGTGTGTTCTCTTTTTGAGTCCGTTTATAACTCATTTAACCTAATTTCTATTTTATATCATCAATTTTTGGATCATTACGTATATACTGGCTTTCTGTGTTCGTCGTGTATGGCTGATGAATGAGACAATCGGTCGCATATGAGTGCATTTTTCCCAGTAAGGTCTAGATCACTCACCTGCTGATAGAGCACCTGCTGATATAGCACCATCAGCTGGCGATATGGCACCTTTGTGGTAAACTGGACCCCTGTTGTGTTCACTTATCGCTACACTAACGGTGCGAAGCTTTAGATGGAATGGCGGACCAGTTTACCTTTTTGGTAAATTTGATTTGCCTCCCTTTGCAGAGAATCTAAAATTAAAACATGGGATTGCTAAAAAGAAACATTGACGAGATCTGCGCTTCCACAATCATTTTTAAATTACACATACATCCACAAATGTATTTTTCACAAAAAGATCTAATATGCAACTCTTTTCTTTTCGTTTTTAACCTAATTTAAATTGTTTTGTCAGGATTTATTTGAATTAATATTTTGAAAATGTAAGTATTTTTCATTTGCTTTGTAGTATCTCCTATAGATTTAAATATATTGTATTATGTAAACTATAAGCTACAAGATTTAAATATATTGTATTATGTAAACTATAAGCTAAAAGACTAAAATGTAAATTTCGTTCTAAATATTTTTATATAACTAGACAAGTAATGATGCCTGCCCTGCCATATGCTTGAATGAAGTTCTGGATGGGGTGTTTATATAATAGAGAATAATGGACAAAGACCACAGAATGGACAAAATAATGAACAGAAAATAATATGATAAAAAAAGAGAATAATGGGATGCTAAAATTTAAAGAATAGAGAATACTGGGATACTTAAATATAAAGAATAGAAAAACATGGGGTGCTGAAATATAACGAACATATAGATAGAGCAGGAGCGATTTTTTTTTCATTTAAATTTATCGTCAAAAAAGAAATGCACAACCAAATGGCTGTGGTCAATTTTTTTTTTAGAATTATTCGACTGCACTACCTATACTACTCATCCCGTCATTATGATCCAAATTCAAAGCTTTGACTTTCGGCCTCTTTTACTTATCCACTTTTAAACTATATGATATCATGATTTTAAGAAACGGTAAAATAACAAAAAACCTCTCCGCACTTCGAATACCCATGTGCTTAAAAATCGCGTTCATAATATAAATTTCACTGCCGCTAATCGAAATTTACCTTCAAAATATAACACATGTCGCAATCATGCCAATTGTGTTAAAGGAGGCAATGCCTCTGCAGCTAGATTTTTCAACAAAAACGCACGTGAATATCAACAAATATTCCCGTGCAATGCCAGAAAATGACAAACCTGTTCCACATTATCTTCAGATAATACTGTTCAGTCATCAGTGAACGGAAGAACTTTTTCTCTCTCCTTTTCATGTGACATTACTTGAAAAACCCAAAACCTCATATATCTTGTAACATGAACAAAACCGAAATGTATTTTTCAATATGTAGGGCAAACTGGACGTGAATTTTCAAACGAACACAAGAACATCTATACAGCTTCCGCAGACCTAAGAAATTGAAAAGTTTAATTTACCAACATTTGGAAAAACACAAACACAATATTAAATTTATAAAATTCCAACCACTTCAAAGCGTCCTGAAACAACCAGGACGTCAGTATAGAAAATAATGCTCCTTCGACATGAGACTGTGAAACTTCGAAGTTTAGCTATGATCCCTATGGCCCTGTACTTACAGGGGACCTCAACATCTTTCAAGACCGAGATGTAAACTTTCTGAAAAAAAAGACCAAAATATCGTCCACCGGCGAAAATAATTGGGAAGAGTGTCGTCAGGTTATCAAATATGCTCTTTCATCCTATTGTAAAAAGTGGTGTAAACTGGAGAAGTCTGACAAAAAGTCACTTGATTCCAATTAAAATAAATGTCTAAATATTGTTGATATTCGCATATCGCATTTCGAAAATAATTCAGAACAAGTAATACGCCCAAGTCTAGGATTAAAAACAAAACTCATGTACTTGCAAAGCGTTTTGTGTTCGTACCGACCGACAAAGCAACCAACAATATGGTGGTGGTATGTCGAAAATACTATACGGAAGTCCTTAAGAATGAAATTATACATTCAACTGCATTCAAGGCCGTACGCTCCACAGAGAGTCATATAGTAAATAATCATGTCACTACCACAGCTCAGCTTAAGGCCTTCTCTGAATATTTGAAGGTCCTCACTATGTATTAGTTACCTAAACTACAAAAAAAAACCGTAAAACATCGTTTCATCTTCGCCTCTAGTAAGTGTTCTACTACTAATCTTTCAGTGCTTTTAACGATATCCATTTTAACGAGTTCCTTAACTACTATCATAGAAATTATCATTAATTTTTGTAATAAAACATATGAAAAGAGTGGAACTAACCATTTCTGGAGTGTAAAAAAATATTTGGATGTTTTAGATAAATTACGTGCTTTTGATGGTCCTTTTGATTCCGTTGACTTTTCAACTCTATATACTACACTTCCACACATTCTTATCAAATTTAAGTTTTCCTATATAATTAAATGTTCGTTTGATAAATCTGGCTGCAAATGTATTTGCTGTAACTCATATAAAGCCTTTTTCTCAAATGAGAAAGGTAAATATGCTAGATATACTTACTGGAGGTGTGATGAGATGATTAAAACAATAAATTTTCTCCTTGACAACATTTATGTACGTTTCGGCAATAAAGTTATGGACACATTGTAGGTATTCCCATGGGCACCTATTGTGCCCCTTTAATAGCAGACTTGTTCCTGTACTGTTATGAATCACAGCTTATGGCCAAACTCAGTAAAGACCCGTCTAAATTCCATTTAATTGATAAATTCAACAACACTTACCGTTATCTTGATGATATTTTTTCGTTAAATAATCAAGAATTCTCTAAATATACTATCGATATTTACCCAAATGAACTTACCTTAAATAAATCAAATATTAACAGCAATATATGTCCTTTTCTTTGATTTAAACAATTCAATTTTACACCAGAAACTCTACACAAAATTGTTAATTTTCCTTTTATGGACGGTGATGTCCCTTTGGCACCATCTTACGGTGTTTATATATCCCAACCAGTACGCTATGCCCGTGTCTGTAGTGACGTTTTGTATTTCAATGAGCGTAATAAATGAGCTGCGTCGGCTAAAAATCGACCTAATGCAAATGAATATCAATACATATGTTAACTTATTTCGGGTTGATAAAAGCTCTTTGCAAAACCTGTAACTGTTTGAAAATTTAGTTAATATAAGAACCCTACAAAACAGTCCAAAATTCAGCTTTTATTTCGTATTTGAATGTTCCGAAATCAATAAAAGTCTTATACATGTACATGTATACGTGCACTTGCATAAGGTCGATTTCTATCCGACGCAGCTCAAATGATGTATTGCAAGTTTGACTGTTCCTGTAGAAAACTGATTTCAAACGGAATTTAGCACATCCTAAATTTTACAGTGATGTTGTTAACCAAGCCCGGAAATTTAGATACGATCCGGGTAAACTTATAAATTCTTGAAATAAACTTATTTTAAAAGGTTACCAATTCAACGCTGTAATTAAATCTTTGAATATTGTTTTTATTGGTATAAATATTGATTTTGTTGTCAGTAAATTAAAACCATACTAAATATTATTGTTATACACATATGTACTTTAACGGTACTACAATCTGTCGATACCTATATTTTGGCATTGCACAAGGTCATGTTTTTCTCTGATTGTTAATGACGTCTTTACACTAAATCCATTGGATGTTGGATGTGTATTGATTGATATTTTAGTTTTACATGCATGATTTTTTATTAAGTTTTTATTGGCTTTGAACTAGCTGTCAGTAACTGCGAGTACTCTCAGATCTGTACGTAGTGTCTTTTTTGTTGTTAGGGATGAGGGATGGATAAATACCCTGCCACCTCCGGTCTGTGTTTTTGTTTGATGCTTTTCTGCATTGTATCGATCTGATGAGTTAAGACTTTTTCAACTGATTTTATAGTTTGTTCTTATGTTGTGCTGTTACACCACTGTACCAGGTTAGGGGAGGGTTGAGCTCTCACAAATATGTTTAACCCCGCCTCATTCTTTATGTGCCTGTCCCAAGTCAGGAGCCTGTAGTTCAGTGTTTGTCGTTGGTTCTTGTCTGTCATATTTGTTTTTCGTAATTTGTTTTGTTATAAATTAGGCCGATGGTTTCTCCATTGAATTGTTTCATATTTTAAATGTCGATGCCTTTTATAGTCGACTTTACGGTATGAAGTTTTCTCATTGTTGAAGGCCGTACGGTTGCCTACAATTGCTTACATCCACTTCATTTGAACTTGGGTGGATTGTTGTCTCATTGGCAATCATACCGCATCTCCTTATCTGTATATATAAAATAATGGGGTGCTAAAATATGCAAGTGATTGGTGTTTGCTTTACACAGCAACAGCCCAAAAAAGCTATATCGCGCGATGCTAACATACAAAGAATATAGACCATTGGACAAAATAAAAAGAAAAAAATGACCAAAATGAATTAAAGAATAACAAAAAATGATTGATTAAATGGTTGATTGATGGCGTTTAATGCCATTTTAGTTTTTATTGGTGGTGGAAACCTGAATGCGCGTATAAAAAACACAGACCTTAGGCAGGTATACTGGCAATCCTAGTCAATCAAGATTTAAGTCGAACGCACCTCCATTTGCACTCGAACTCACAACCTCAGCGTTGACAGGCTAGTGATAAGTAATAGTTATACACCGAGGGATAGGTGTGTCTGGATAAGAAACCCCGACGGCCGGAGGCCGGAGGGGTTTCTTATCCAGACACGCCGTATCCCGAGGTGTATAACTAACTTACACCTAGTGCTAAACTCTATATTTGTTAACATTGATTATTAAATGAAAAAGAATGGATAGCATATTTATTGACAAAATCGAACCATGAATTATAAGAAAAATATTTTTTTTTACATGAAACCCCACTAGTTACCTTACTTTGGCTATGTTCTTTCAAACTTTGACAAGTGAGTAGATTTTACAAATGTCAAATTTGTTGTTTTACATATTCCCGTTAAATCCTGGTGCTAATATGGATCAGAAGTTCAAGGTTGACCATTTCGTGCATTCTTATCACAAAAAAAATACATCATGCTCCTTGTATGCAGTTG